CTAAGAAATGTAAAACTGAGTGTATTCATTAAATCTTTGGTGTAGTCGCCTGGAAGGATATAAAAATCTGATTTAAACATTGGACTCCCCGTTCCAATGTATGTGTTGCCTTTTACATCATTTTGCTGGAATGTTTTCGTGGCCAATATTATAGCCGTCACGATGAGCAACTCCATAAGGGTGATATTAGGTTTTATCTTGCACACTTATTACATCTGATGAAACAGCGATGACTGTAAAACTAGTAAATAGTTTGCACGAATAATGTGTCGGGTTCGGTGAAGAAAGTCAATATTTGTTAATTGTTTGTTAATTGAATATCCAATTAATTAAGCACGGATTTTAAAGTTCAGGAATTAAATTTTATTGTATGTGAACTGTCAATTCTGAATCGCATCTAACCGAAGCCGGTCCTAGCCTTTCTTAGGCCCTAAGCTAAATGTAAGAAAAATGCCCCTCTAAAAGAAAAAAATCCCTTCCTTTTCTTTCCATATGATGAAATTTATGATATTTCAACAATTACTTTGTCTATCCCATACATTGAGTAACTTTGGATGAATTAATAAAAATAATTGTCCCTCATTTTTGTTTATTTCAATACAACAAGGTAAGGTAAATAAATAAGTTATAAGAAAATTTATATGAACCTAAAACATGAGTATGAACACTATTATTTACAAAATTATATAATTATGTGTAAGCTGAATATTACATTTATATACATCCTTTCAATTTTGTGGAGAAATTAACTCTCCTTTATTTTAATGTAATTTTATTTAATAACAAACTCATATTATGTTACACTTTGTTACTTAATTAAATGATTTTTTATTTAATGAGTTGTAAATTTTTTAGAATAAATAGTGATTATAATTTATAATACATAAACTATAAAGATACACAAAAAATAAAAAAATAATCTAATAGGAATAGAAATAAAGATGGGTTGGTAGGTTCTCATCTATTTCAGAAAGTTTTGTGCATTTTAATTGTTAGGCATTTATTTATTTTTTTTGTTGCAATTAATGTTTGTGGAAAACCTGCTTATATATTGATTTAAATGTCTTTGGGTTCTTTGGGAAAAAATGGAGAAAATTACCTCACCTACCGTGAAGATTAATTTTATTTACACATACACAAACCCTAATTTTTATTTGCATCTATACGAGTATCTTTATATTTATTTGCAATTATATGATTCTTTATCTCTCATCTTTTTTCCTTATTTCTTTCCTTTCTTTTCTCGTGCTCCCCCATCTTCTCCTTCTTCCAGTTTCTCACCATCTTCTTCTATCATTCTCTAGCCTTAAAAAATTATCATCATTAAAATTTAAAATTAGCCGCAGATTAAAGAGTACTAAGCCACTACCGCTACGACGAGCGCTCGGGTCTTTCCGAAGTTGGAGCAGATCTGGTGAGATTCCACCAACAAGCAGATCTCATTCAAACCAGCCAAGCCGTCGACCAATCAGACGGACCATCATCCAAGACCGCTGTCAGGTCGCGCCGCTTGCCACTGTTTGAAGCCAGAGACCCTTCGACCGCATACCACCGTCCCGTGACCGCCAATTCGCCGTCGGCCATAGAACAGAAAAAATGAATTGATTTTTGAAATTGAAATTTGGTGGGTTGATGGGTAATTTTAAAAGACAAAATTTTGGTGGTCTGCGTAGAAGACTAAGAATAAGCAAATACGGAAACTGGATGTTGGAATTTTGGATCCGATGGTAAGAAGGCTCGCAACAACCTATTAATGTTTTGGCAATCCTGTAGCTCAAAACTTGACTTTGAAGTGGATTTGTTTGATTTGTGGATTGTACATATTTTGATTTCTTTATATTTAAGAAGATTTCAATGTATATTTGATGTTTGTTAATAGTTTATGTTTGTCAAAATTAAACCTAGCCCCTAATACGTTTTTTTTTTATATTTTCATTATATATTCGGTATATAATGACAAGATTGATTTATCTTCTGTATATCTGTTGTGTATTTTTTATATCCTATGTATTCAATTAGTATATGTTCTGTATATGTTCCCGACAAATATACTATTATTTAGTATATGTTTCTTTTATAATCAGTGAATATATCATAGGTATATGTTGAGTATATCTTCTGAATTTTAGTATATTTTTCTTTTATAATCAGTGAATATATCATATGTATATGTTGAGTATATAATGAGTATATCTTCTGTATATAAGACTGATCGTGAAACAAAAAAAAATACGAAAAAATAAAATTAACAGGTTATTTCGTATATTTTTTGGACTTATATGTTTTCTAAAAAACCACCGTGAAAAATGAATGTGATTCTGATTACTTATTGTTTTTTCATAATTTATTTAGTCTTGTATTGGTTTATTTTTACAGAGATAATTAATATTTAAAGGCAATGAAATAAAGATAAGAGTGAGAAGAGAGGAGAGAGAGAAAATAATGGAGAAGAGAGAGAGAAAAAAAAACGGATGAATAGGTAGTTAAGGAGAATTGTTAGAAGTAGATAAATGAGAGAGGAGAGAGAATGTTTTTAATATGTAAATGTTTATGTTACATTAGGTATATGTGCAAATAAATTTTTGGGTTGGTATTTTTACAATTATTTAGCAATCAACTAAGTACATATGTAAATTACCCGAAAAAATGGATATGCTAAATGTAATTGGGCCCATCATGTATTGGGCTGGACACAATCATCACAATATCAAATTGTCAATACTTATTATTATTATTTGTATTATTAATTGGGCAAACAAAGGCCCCAATAATTGTGCCCCCTTCGAATTGGGCCCTGGTCTGGGCCCTGGGCCAGGGCAGGCCCTGCATCTAACAATATACGGGACATCTTTCACCTCGGTTAGGCGATGATCTCTTGAATATCTTGTGGCCGGGCATTCCTTCCCTCTCTAGCTTACTCTCTCTTTGAGGTTGATGTAATTTTGAGTTGCTTGGACAAGAGAATGAAATACTCGCATATTATATTTATATGTTACAATAGAGATATTAAGTTAATTTGTTTTATATCCTTCACTTCAGGTGGACATCATGTGGGCGACGATCTCTCGAACATCTTGTGACCGATGTTCTCACCCTCTTATTCATTCTCACGTTTTCTCTTTTTGAGGGGGGCGGTGATTTTGAGTTGCTTGGACGAGAATGAGACTCCCACACAGTCTCTTTATAAGCTACAACATGGGCTTTAAGGAGGTTATTCTCTTTCATATCATGCATCTCAGTTGTACGTTATGTGGGTGACGATCTCCTGAATTTTTTGTGGCCGACGGTCTCCCAACCTCTTTGTAGCTAGCGCTCTCCCCCTCCATTGCTTGCTCAATCTCATGTTCTCTTTGAGGGTGACAAGATTATGAGTGATTGGACAAGAGAATGAGCTCCCACATGGTGTATTTATAAGCTATAGATTGGACCTTAAGGAGGTTAGGGTTAGGTTTCCTAATATGATAGGGAATACTTGGGTTATGCACCACCTTATTCCTTAACCCATCAAATAATAAATTAGCCCACTGAATATTTATTTTTGCACTATACCTTTCCCAGACCAAATTATTTGGGCTTCAGCATATTCTCTTTATCTCTCCATGTTTAAGATATCGTACATCCGTTAATTAATTTATTTACTGACAATTTAATTACTTAACATCGTTATTTTTTCAAAACTAGTACAACTCAACCTTATTATTTTGCCAGAACTTAATCCACCTACAGGGCATAACAATAATAGTTCTTTTGAGCTCGTTTCAGAGACGCATTGTCCTGGCGCACCAGGACATAGTGATCGAATATAATCAGCAATGCATAATGTAAAAAAATAATATTTTCCAAATCACCGAGCCAATTGAGTTAACGAATAACTCTCACCATTTGAAGCCGAACCCAAGCCCAGAACCAAACTCGAAATCAATCCGTACCCAGCTGAAGGAAACCGAACATCGCCTCACCTAGCTAACACCACTTGTCGAGACCAGCACAACCCCACCCTGCTAACACCACTAGCCGAGTACAACCGCACTAGCTCCCTTGAAACCAACAAAGAACAGCGGAGAGAAGAGAAGTGTGGCACTTCCGCTCCAACGACTCCGACGTGACGCGTCACAAGCTGTCGGAGTCCTGTCCCATCCCCTAGGCCGCACACCACCTAACGCCGCGGCAAGATCTGGAAGCCCGCAACTAGAATCGGGACCGCACCGGCAGAGGAGGAGAGTTCCGTCCGAATAGCAGCCATCTCCATCTCAGGACCTCGAGAGGCGCACATCTTCAGGGATAGAGACAAGCCACCGGAGCCGACCACTGGCCGGACTCCCTATTCCGCCGTGGAAGGCGACCGGAAGATATCGAAGATGAAGACAAAGCAGCGATTTG